CTTTCCTCTTAATGCTAGCTGCCTCTCTGTTATTTGAGTCAAAGCAAATACTGAAAACTTGCAGGTTCAGATGCAGATGATGGCTTTAGAAATGGTGTCTGCTTGGGAGTTAAGGAAGTTGAACCTTCAGCCTGTTTATGCAGCTTCTCTATTTAAAAAAAAAAAAACCAAACCACACTAAATTATGTAGTAACCACTGGCAGTCAGCTGATAACCAGGTTAGTCCAAGTTCAAGGGTGACTTGATGTGTTGGAAATCATGTTTACAACTAAGGTCCACACCATCTGGCAGATTTGATTAAAGCCATCTTATCTCTTACTGAGAGCAGTGGACTCCTTTCAGCACTCTCCATGGTCAATAGCCTCCATTTTGAGGTATTAGCTGGTGTTGGGAATCCCTCCTGCACTAGAGACTTTCATTTCTAGAGCCCTTTCTCTCTCTTAAAGACACAGAGGCCTGCTACCAATTTATTTGTTGAATGTAACATCTGCTTTTCTGCTGGTGGACACTACAAGCAAAATGAAATCTTGTGTGTGGTCAGGGAGATTATAGTTAAACACTCAAAAAAAAAAACAAAACAAAACAAACAAACAAAAAAACCAACGAGCAAGCAGCTGGTCAGGGGTTTCACTTTGTACTTCCTGAAGAAAATATTGGTTAACAAAGTTACAAGATACTCTAATAGTGTAACTAAATGGTCTTGTGGTGTGAGGTTCCCTTCCTGTTAACAAAGATGGTTTCATTTTTATATGTGCGGTGGTTTAACCCACAGTGGGATCGTGTGGTCCTGCACTTGTTCCCCCCACTTGCTCAGATGGGATGGGAGACACAACAAAGGGGACACGGGGTTAGGAATGAAGGACAGGGACAGCTCCCTCACCAGTCATGGTCACGGGCAAAACAGACTCAACTTGGGGAAGAAAAATCAATTGAATTGAATTAATGAATTAATTACCAATCATCCCAGTAGCACAGTGAGACATAACAACCACATCTTACAACACCTTCCCTCACCCCTCCCTTCTTCTAGGGCTCAAATCACTTTGCTCCCCATTTCTCTACCTTCTCCCCCCCAGTGGCACAGGGGACAGGGAATGGGGGTTCAGTCAGGTCACCTCTGCTGCTCTTCCCAGCATGAAAGTCCAGGAACAAGATTTTCCAACACAAGCTTTCTGTGGAGTCACGGACCTCTTCGGGCTCAACTCCTGGCTCCAGCATGGGGACACCATGGGCTGCAGATGGGTCTCCAGTCCAGTGCATCTCCTGCCCCCTGGCTCTAGGGGTTCACCCCCACTGGGTGACTCTCAGGGTCTCAATTCAGTCACACCTGCCCTTGGGCTCAGCTTTTCTGCTCCAGTGTGGAGTCCTCCATGACCTACACATGGGTCTCTGCTCTGCCACTGAACCTCCATGGGCTGCAGGGACCTCCTTTGCCTTCTCCTGCTTCATGGGGTTGAACTGGGTGTCTGAGGTTCTCTGTCCTCCTCCTTCCTCCTCTTTGTTTAGGCCAGTGGTTGTCCTTTGTTAGGTCAATGGCCTCTCCTCCAGGTTCACCCCCATCTACTTCTTTTCAGGACAGTCCTTCCCCTCACAAATACAGATTCACAGAGGTGTTTCTCTAGTGCCCATTGGCCCAGCCTGGCCCTTCCCCCCACTACCAAATACACTCCTTCCCCCCCCCCCAAACCCAACACAACCTGGAAGCTTGTCACTTCAGAGTTAACATGAAAGACTACTAAGGAAGTCAGTCAGACAACTTGAGTAACTTGTTTTGCCCCCACTACTGTCTGCCTTCCTCCAGGGAAATTAATCTCTCTGGGAAGACTTTTAGGACTTCTCTCTTGTTCAGTTTTTTAACGTGCAAGAGTAAGCATCTTTGGATCCTGCATCTCTTTTTGCTCTCCCATAGCAATTTAGCTGATACTGGAGATGACTTGCAGGATAACACCTGAGTGTAGTCAGGGACAGGTCTGCAATGGTGTGTGGTGTGTGACCAGCTGTAAGTGCCATGCCCTCCCACTTTCCCCTTGGTCTGTGCAGTAGCAAACCTGAGGTGTGTGGCCACATGATGAACTCATCCCAGGGCTGGACTTCCTTCTGCAGAATGCAGTAATTATGCAGCTGGACAGAAGTCTTGAGGGTAAGAGGATGGTCTGGCTGATGGGTGCAGGAAGTGGAATCAGTAAAGAGCAGGTGATGTGACAATGCAGAGGTGTGACAAGCTGTACCAAAACCCAAGCTGTAGAATTTGAAGGTGAGGAGGAGTGCAGTTTAACTGAGGAACTTGTGGAATAAGTAGATGCAGGGAGCAGCTAGCAGGGATTGCTGTGTACAGGGACATTGAACTTTGGGAATGGGGTACTTCTGGGATTGGGGTGCAGGA